TTTAGTCCTCTCATGAAATGCATTATTCTTTGATAAGCATATAGCTGACTGAGAATCACACCAAACAGAAGCAGCTTCTGGTTTCAAACCCATATCTTCCAATAAGCCTCTAATCCACATTGCTTCTTTCACTGCTTCAGTAAGAGCAATATACTCGGCTTCTGTTGTTGACAAAGCAACAACTGACTGCAAGGTTGATTTCCAACTGACAGTGTTACCACCTACAGTGAAAACATAACCACTAATCGACCTTCTTTTATCCAGGTCTGCAGCATGATCTGAGTCACAATATCCATGAATATGGAAATCCTTTCCTTTAGTAAAGACCAAACTCAAATCTGTAGATCCTTTGAGGTATCTGAGCAACCATTTAACAGCTTCCCAGTGAAAGTGCCCAGGTCTTCCCATGAACCTACTTACCAATCCAATAGCATAAGCAACATCAGGTCTTGTACCAACCATCGCATACATTATACTACCAACTGCACTAGCATAAGGAACCAACTCTGTATCAACGAGTTCTTCATCATTCTTCACAGCTGCTAATTTGAAATGCGCACCAATAGGTGTACTCACATCTTTAGCTTGATCCATTCTGAATCTCTGTAAAACTTTTCCTACATAACCTGACTGAGACAGCCACAATGTATTCTCCTTTCTGTCTCGAATAATATCAATTCCCAAAATCCTGCTAGCTGCACCCATATCTTTCATCTCAAATTCTGAACTGAGATCATTCTTAATCTTCTTGATCTCTGTCATACTCTTTGCTGCAATCAACATATCATCAACATATAGCAGCAAGTAGACAAATTCACCAGAATGTACCTCCTTAACATATACACAAGAGTCATGCTCACTCTTGATGAACTGTTGTTTCATCATGAAAGCATTAAATCTCTTGTTCCACAGTCGAGGAGCCTGTTTCAAACCATACAGAGACTTCCTTAATAAGCAAACTTGATTTTTTTCTGAATTTACCTCAAAACCTTCTGGTTGTTCCATGTAAAGATCTTGATCAAGCTCACCATGAAGAAAAGCTGTCTTCACGTCCATCTGTTCTAATTCCATATCATCTTGAACAACTAACGACATAAGCACTCTGATGGATATGTGC